CGTGTCAATCCATCTCGTTGAAGGCCTCCCCCTCTTTCGTCGACCCTCCACCCTACCAAGCATGACATCCTTCTCCAGGGAATGGTCACTTCTTACAACACTGGATGTGCACTGGAGAAGAATGTATATTGTGCTGCTGTTGGGTGAAGTGCTCTGTAGATATCTATAAGGCCCAGTTGGTGTAGTTTATCATTTAGCTCTTCTGCATCTTTATTGAGTTTCTTTCCAGTTGTTATATCTTGAGTCCCACTTTCCCTGGTAACTTTTGATGTCATTCTGGGACAAGGGACTTCTGGGTGTCTTTCTTAAATGATCTACAGGTGTAAATCTTAATTATGGTCTTGAAAATTTCATCTACACAGTTTACAACTTCTAGACACCATTCCTTGTACTGTGTTGTTGCTGTTAGCTGCTGTTGAGTTGATCCCAACTCATGGCAACCCCATGTACAATGGAGTGAAACACTGCCTGGTCTTGCGCCATCCTGCGATCAGTTATAGCTCCAACCTCTGATTCCTAGCTTTCACTGGGTGATGTTCAGAACATCACCAGGCCTTTCTTCCTAGTCTGTCTTAGGCTGGAAGTGCCACTGACCTGTTCCGCATCACAGCAGCACGCAAGCATCCACCGACGGACAGGTGGTGGCTGGGTATGAGGTACGTTGGCTGGGAATTGAACCTGGGCTATGGATTATATAAATACATGCTGAGACACACTTTTGGGAAGAATCACTGTAGCAGGACACAACCACACAACTGGTGGCCCTCTGCCCACCCTGAGCTTTGAGTAAATCGCTGCACTCCATTTCCCACACGGGGGCCCTTTGTTCTGCATTTTTCTGAATGAACTCCTGTACTGGTGCTCTCTGGGGCTGCTTTTCTGACCGCTGTGCTGCCGAGACTTCTCCACGAGTCTGCAGCCCATTCCTGCACACTGTATACTGTGTTTCCCATGTGAGCACTTGGCCCCATACCACCTAGGATGGTTCCAGCTTCTGCCAGCATCTGCCTCCTGGGACATGTGGTGTCTCAAGGGCATCTCAAGGGCACACCTTCCACCACTGAATGCAGACTGTCCACAGGGCTTGCTCCTCAAACAGTCCCACCAGTGTGGGGTACTTTTGTCCCCTCTCCTGCCTGAAGCTGCTGGCTTTTGCTGCTCCTGCTGTAAGGCCCAGACCCAGTCCTCAACCCATCCACATGCCAGCCCCGAGTGGCCGTGGGTGGGCAGGTGTGCTGTGGCCAGCCCAGCTCCTGGCAGGGCCAGCCCCTCCAAGGACAGTGGATGTGTGCTTTCTTTTGAGACTTTCCCAGCAGGCACCTATGCAGAGTCTGACTCTACAAAGTCAGTGCCATAGCTGCTTTCCTGGCATGGAAATCAGGTGTGGCAAGGAAGGAGCCTTTTCTAATTCATGGTGGCCCTGGGCTGACAAGCCCACTCTGACACTTCCCCAAGCCCCACACGCAGCTCCTGCAGTCACCTCCACCTGTGGATCTCAGATATCTGAGCCCCATGGGTCCATGCCCCCCAGACCTGCTCCCTCACCTTCGCAAAACAGCAGCTCTGAGCACCTTTTACTCAGGCCACACCTTGGTGCCAGCCGGATGCCATGCTCACGCCCATACCCCCTTGTCAGCATGACTGCTGGGCATGTCTGTCAGTGCCACCTTCTGATGTAACCAGTACTGACCCCGTCTACACATTCATCTCTCACACTCCTGCCCAGAAACAACTATAGCAGCCTTTCTGTTCTGCTCCCTCCCCCCAGGCCTCCGGGGCTTTCCTCTCACCAGAGAAGGCACTCTTATCCTCACCTCCCCACACTGTTACCCCACCTCCCTAGCTTCTTCCCCAGCTCCAGTCCCACTGTCCTCAACTGTTCCATGAAGGGCTTTGCCTTTGCTATTCCCTCTCTCACTCCTACAGGTGACACAGTTACCACCTTCCCCAGGAGGCCCTCCTTGTGAGGAACACTGGCCCCCAACAACTCCCTCTCCCTTACCGCACTGCTTCTTGCACCGCACTCATTCATCATCTGCTACCTTACCAGCATGTGCGATCCCTCGAGAGGGAGACTCTGAGTGTTCCCTTCATTGCTGTACATAGCATCTACCATGCAAGTGACCAACGGTCCCCGTTGCTCAGGACTGAGGGATGGCCCAAGACACAAAAGGGATGGCTGGTCACCCAACTACAGCGAAGCCTGGCAGGTGGTTGGTGCTCAATGAATGCTTGATAAATGAACAGGTCCTATGATGTGAGTATCATGTCACCCATTTTACAGATTGGGGAACTGAGATCAAATAATCTACCTCACATAGCACAGCTGATAAATTAGGAGGCTGAGATGTGAACCCAGCCAATGGACTCACAAAGTTCAAGGTACCCTCAGTGCATCTTTCTGCTAGTCTTCATGTAACACTCAAACAAACATTTCATGGGTCAGTTTGGCAGCAACAGATAATTCTGATCTCCTATTACATGTTTTGTTTAAGGTAGCCACCAGTGTAAACTCCCTCATTCTGAAAGTAGAGTACGACTTTGATTATTGAATGTTTGAGATTCCTTCCTTCTGAAATCACATCCAGGGAGCAGCCTGCCATTAGCTGGGGGAGGACCCTGCCTGAATACCTGCTGAATTAGGGGCATGTTCTGGGCCAAAGGCAAAGGCAGGTATTAGGACATGTACAACATCAACTGAGGAAACAAACTTGTGCTGGGAAGCCAGTCTGTGCCACAGCCAGCCTCCTTTCTCTGACCTGCTGTGGTGGGACAGAAGATCCCACCCCACATGCCTCATGCAGGCCCCTCCCTCCTAGCTGAAGTAACATGGACAGCAAGGGACAAAATCAGAGCTTGTGGACCAAAGGCTCCTAGGGGTCAACTTGAGGAAAAAAGTAAGGGGTTTGCCCATACAGCTGGCAAATGGCCACCAGCAGCCCTAAGGCCAGCTTCTAATGCCTGGTTCCAAGCGATGACTTTTCTGCACCCACCGGCACCCTCCCACTGGCTTCAGAGTGGAACTTACCGAACATACAAAGGACTTGAGTAGGTGTCTGCTGAGCAGACTCAGGGACGTTGGCTTGGAGAAAAGCATGACATCTGGAGTGCCCTGGGGGGAAGGACACAGAGATGGTTGGAGGCTGATGGCAGGTGAGGGCCAGCGCCTGTGTGTCCATGTGTGCAGGGAGCCCAACCTCCATGAGGGAGCAGTAGAGGAAAGGTCCCTGGGAGATGACGAGGTTGGTGCAAAGGCAGCTGGCGATAGTCTGCTGGGTGGCTCGCAGCTGCTTCTTGGCAAGTTCCAGGCCATGGTAGAGCTTGTCCAGGTTACTCCTGTAATAAGAGCAGATACATGGCTTTAGCTGGGCTTGTCAGGGACACTTGGTAAAATGTCACAAATAAAATGCTTGGTTCCTGGCTGAGGAAGGTGGTTTGGGGCTAAGAGTTTACCTCCCCTCCCTTCTAAGTTCCCTTTAACATGAAAGAAAAACAAAAAATGTATAAACCCATAGTGATGGAATGAGAGGTGGGAAGGGTTCTGGCACAGGAAACAGGAGACTGAAGGCCAGCAGAGAGAAGAGGCAGTACAGCAGAGCCAAGGAAGGTACCTGTGGGCACCACCAGAAAGGAGAGCTGGTGAGGGCTAACAGATGGATTTCCACCCTCCTCTCAAAAAAGGAGGACTCTCTCCTTTAACTATATTGAAATGATCCCTCTGTGGAGAAGTAGGGCCCCTGAGCAAAACCTCTGTACCCAGCAGATAGGAGAGCTCTGGTAGCGTAGTCCCTAAAACATTTGACTGCTAACCAGAAGTTTGGTGGTTCAAACCCACCAACCATGTCACGGAAGGAAGATTGGGTAATCTAGTTCTGTAGAGATACTGCCTTGGAAACCGAGAAGTCGGATTTGACTCCAGAGCAGTGCATTTGATTTGGTTTGTTTTGTGTCATAGTTGGCACCAAGATGCAATGCTGCCTTCCAGCCAGCAGGAGGCACCAAGCCCCAGAGCTCAGCTCAGCTTCTTACATATGCAGGACCTCTAGATATGTGAGAAGTGCCTGTGGCCTGACAAAATGATCCTGGAGAAAACAGAGATGATTCTGAAAACGAATGAGAACTTAAAACGAACTCTAATTAGTATCTTCAGAGAAGTCTGGAAAACTGTTACATCCCTAAACCAACAACAGGATGTTACGGAAAAGGAATAACCAAAGGATAGGAAGCATTCATAGAAATTAAAATAATTGCCAAAAGTAAAAATTTCACTCAAAGGCTAGAGGAAAAGTCAAGAAAAGCATCTTCAACATTGATAAGAAAACAGACATGGGAAATGTAAGGGAACAGTAGAGAGACAGAGCGTCATTCGAGAAAGCCTAGAAAGAAAGAGGAAACAATGGTGACGTACAGGTGTGTGGTGTAACAGAGAAATAAAACAAAAGCATCCCCAGCTGAGGGACCGAGAGGGCTCACCTGAGAACCCAGCACAATCCAGGAAACAAGATCCACCCTTGACTCGTCACGAGGAAATGCCAGAACGTGGAAATAAAAGACCCTGCAAGCGTCTTGGATGGGTGGTCACTTACAAAGAAACAGGAATCAAAATGACTCAGACTTTTCATCAGCAGCACTGGCTGCTGGAACACAGTCGAGGGAATCCACATTCAAGGAAAAATGATCTTCAAAATGGTCCTGCTTCTATTGGAGCAAGACCAGCAATCAGGTGAGAGTAAAACAAAGACACTGTCAGACAAGCAAGACCTCAGAATGTTTACTCACACGTGCCCTTTCCCTGAATAGCTCCTTGAGAACTGTGTTCTAGCAAAATGAGGGAGTAAATTAAAGACAAAGATGTGGGCTCCAAGGAATGTTGGACCTAACTCAGGGCACAGTAAAGGGACAACTGTGTGACAGCTAGACAGCAGCCGAGGGAGCTGCAGGTCCAGCCTGGAGTGGGGAGGCAGAGGCTTAGGCTCTCGAGGAAAGAAAGGGGTTCAGGAATGCTTGTTGGGAGGAAAGGTGAAGAAAATAAAACTTATATGTGATAAACCAAACAAAATTCACTGCCATCAAGTCAATTCTGACTCATAGAGACTCCCATTGGGTTTCTGAGGCGGTATATCTTTACAGAAGTAGATTGCCCCATCTTCCTTCTGCGGAGAGGCTAGTGGGTTTGAACCACTGACTTTCTGGTTAGCAGCCAATGGCCTTATCCACTATGCCACCAGAGCTCCTTAGATGTGATGTTGTTGTTGTTGTTTGCCATCGAGTCGGCCCCGACTCATAGCGACCCCTCCTTGGGTTTCCGAGGCAGTATCACTACGGAAGTAGAATTGCCCAACCTTCCTTCAGAGGAGTGGCTGGTGGGTTAGGGTTAGGGTTAGGGTTAGTAAAGAAGTCAATTAAAAACTCTAGGGAAAACAAAGAGCTGTACCAGAAAATACTGTAATCAATGTACATTTTTGACTCTAGAATATTTAAGTAGGCACAATAAAGTGAAACTATTTGATCTTTTAGAATAAACTGTAGCCAAAAATGAGACCATTTCCATCCTGTTATCTAACCATGATTAAGGGCTATCAAATCTGAAAATGTAAAAGCATAGACTTTAGAAACTGGGAGGGATGGGGGAGAAGAGTTGTGGATACTGAGGTGTAGTAAATTATACAGTGTGGCTTTTCTAGCCATAAGTCTCTGTGAACCCCACGGTGGAATTTGCTGTGAACAATTGAATAGCTTCTGATTGTTAAAGTTATCCACCTGGGCTATTTCCGCTGGGAGCAGCACAAATTTTCTGGGAAGTTTGCTTTCTCTCAGGTGTGTAGAACTCTGATGTTGGGATTGGTTAGTTTGGCCACTCTGCCAGGCTCAGAAGGAGCCCTCCTAGAGGCAGGAGGAGTCTCTCACTGCTGGCTGAGAGATGTGAGAGGCACACATTGCTGAGAGAGAGATGCAAGAGACACACATTGCTGACAGAGATGCGAGAGACACGTGCTGCTAAGAAACTGAGAGACGCGCACTGCTGGAGGAGAGACTGTTGGCTGAGAGACAGTGGGCTGAGAGAGACTGAGTGTGTTCCTGAACTTGAGTCGTAGCCTGCTGCTTCCCTAATAAACCCCATAATCTATGAGTTCTGTGTGGCCACTGCAGTGAATTATCGAACCCAGCAGAGAGATGGTGGGTGCTGTGGGAAGAACGGTTGGTTCAGGGTTGGTGAAAGGGCTGAAGGGAGGCAGCATGTCTGGCCTCACAGGAATAGGCCTTGGGCTACTGATGGTGATTCTGTCTTCCTCTTGTGGGGTTAGAGGAGGTCAGAATACACAGCCTCCCAGGCCCTTTGGCAGATGCTAATATCCTTTTTTTTACAAACTAGAGAGGCAAGAGACTCTGGTGAAGATGGAAGCACATTAAAGTTATAAAGGAGCAAAAATAGTGGTAGAAGTGTCCCAACAGGAGGGAAAGAAGGATAGAGTGCGATGAATGTTTTTTGTCACAGTAGGAAGTCAATAACATCAAAAAGTCATCAATTCTGAGAAGATGGTGGCAGCACTGGTGTATAGTTTCTGGATCTTCCCAAATTTCTAGATTAAAACAAGCAGAGCAGCTAGACTATAAAAGCAAAAACCAAGCACCCACATTTACAACAAAATGAGGGAACAAGGTAACACCATAAACCCTAAAATATAAGCAGGTGGGACAAGCCACCAACCAGCCACGAGGCTGTAGTATAGTTGGCGTCAGAGTGGTAGAAAGTAGAAAACTAGTAGGACCTTAGAACAGCTATAAACCCCAGGAGACAGCCAATAGGCACTCCTGGGAAAGCTTGGCAGGGCAATTTGAGAACAGTGGCTAAAACTGAGTGAGGTTCTGCCCCATCCAAGAGCAAGAGAAAGGAGTCTTGGTGGTATAACGGTTAAAAACTCAGCTGCTAACCAGAAGTCAGCTGTTCAAACCCACCAGTCATTTGTGGAAGAAAACACCTGGCAATGCACTCCCATAAAGATTACAGCCTAAGAAACCCAGTGGGGCAGTTCTACTCTGTCATAGAGGCTCACTGTTGACTGAGACAGACTCAATGGCACACAACAACAGGAGAGCAAGTGAGTATAAGGGGCCATGGTAAAGTGTAAGGGGCCATGGTAAAATGAAAGGGGCTAAAGGGGTCTGGCCCTTATAGAGTTTCACCTGACTCACCTGGCGCCTTTCTACATTAGGCCCCTCACTAAGGAGAAACTGCTGAGAATGGAATCCAAATTGAGCAGGAGAGGGCCGACACAGAATAAGAAAGAGAAGCTACAGATACAGATTGGTTTTGATTTGAGGCTCTAGTCAGGGCAGTAAGGCAAGAAAATGAAATCAAAGGCATCCACGTTGAAAATATAATAAAAGACATCCAGATTGGACATGATTACATGATCTTGTACATAGAAAATCCTAAGGAATCCACTAGAGATCTCTTAGACCTAATAAGCGAGCGCAGCAAGGCTGCAGGATACACGATCAAGATACACAATCAACTGTGTTTCGGTCTACTAGCAGGAGCACTCTAAAACTGAAACTAAGAAAAAATTACATTTATCACAGCATCAGAGAGAATAAAACACTTGGGAATAAATTGAATAAAAGAAGTATAAAGTGTATACTCTGAATACTACAAAACATTGCTGGAAGAAAACAAATAAAATCAAAATAACTGGAATGGTATCCATGCGCATGCATCAAAAGACTCAATATTAGTAAGATGACCAAAAAAAAAAAAAAAACCCAAACTCACTGCCATCGAGCTTGTTCTGAGTCAGAGTGACCCTCATTGGCTTTCCGAGGCTGTAAATCTTTATGGAAATAGATTGTCCCATCTTCCTTCTGTGGCGTGGCTGGTGGGTTTGAACTGCTGACCACAAGGCCTTATCCAGTATGCTACCAGAGCTCCTTTGTTAAGATGACAACAGTCCCCAAATTGATCTCAGATTCAATGCAATCCCTATCAAAATCCTAGCTGACTTCTTTGCAGAAATTGAGAAATTAAGATTCATATGGAAATTTAAGGGACGCAGAATAGCTAAAACAGTCTTAAACAAAGCTGAAGAATTCACAACTCTCAGTTTCAAAACTTGGTGCAAAGCCACAATAATCAAAACAGTGTGGTATTGGCATAAGGAAAGACATAGAGATCAATGGAATAGAACTGAGAATCCAGAAATAAACCCTTATGTTCATGGTCAACTAAGTTTCAACAAGGGTGCCAAAACATTTCAGTTGTGGAAAGAATAGTCATTTTAATAAATGGTCCTGGGACAATTGGTATAAACATCCAAAATAATGAAGTTATTATTTCCTTACACCAAAGATAAAAAATTCTGTTTATATGAAATATATAGAACAGCAACTCTATAGACATAAAGATTACTGGTTGCCTATGTCTGGAAGCTCTGGTAGCGTAGTGCCTAAGGCACTTGACTGCTAACCAGAAGGCTGGTGGTTCAAACCCACCAGCCATTCCTTGGAAGGAAGATGGGGCAATCTACTTCCGTAGTGATACTGCCTCGGAAACCCAAGGAGAGAGGTCACTATGAGTCGGGTCCGAAAGCACATAACAACAACAACATGCCTAGGAGCAAAGGGTGTGGGGGCTGATGGCTAAGGGGTGCAGGGTTTCTTTTTCAGGCAAAGAAAATGTTCTGGAATAAGATTGTAGTAATAGCCTTATAAGCCTGTGAATGCACTGAAAGCCAATGGATCGTACATTTTAAAAGGGTAAATTGTATGGGATGTGAATTATAGCCCAACAAAACTGTTTTTTAAAAAAGCAGACTGGGGAGCAGAACCAGGAAACCCCAGAGAACAGGCTACATGTTTTGTTGTTATCGTCAGGTGCCATCGAGTTGGTTCTGACTCATAGTGACCCGATATACAACAGAACATGGCACAAAATAAATGACAAAGAGGGGGCTCTGGGAAGTTAGAAAAATCAGGGAAACAAAATTCACATTAAAATGAGTAACACAGAAAGTACTGAGGCCAAATCCCACTCAGACTTACAGGGAGGGAGAAAAGGCTGAGGAGTAGAGTAATATCCCTACTGATGAGGATAGTGCCCCAGAAAGACATTGAGAGGAAAGAGCAAAATTGCAATGTTGTATTTCACAACAAGCTACAAGACATGAAGATAATAATACAAGGAATCTCAGGAAATGAGGGGGAAGAATTAGAAGTAACAGAAAAACAAATGAGAAATGAAGGGCAGATACAACAAATGATGCCTAAGAGCTCTGGAAGGGTTCACATTTACACCAGGTAGATACCCTCCTTAGAACCATCAATCATGGGAGAACAGAAGGGCAGTGTTTGCACAGGGAGACAACTGGGGTGTGGGGGGGTGCCTAGGAAAGAAGGAGGCAGGGAAGATGTAACTATGGGGAGGAAGTGGGGAGAGAGCTCTTACATTGTGGGGAATTGCAGTCAATGTCATGAAACAAAATGTGTATGAGCTGTCGTATGTAAAGTGAATTTGTTCTGTAAGCTTTCACCCAAATCACAATACAAACTAAATAAATAAATAAAAGAGATCTAGAAGGAGAAAAAGAAAAATTTGAAAACCAAAAAAGAAACAAAGAGAGAGAGAGATAAGGATTCAAGAGAAAAGTGACAAATACTGAATACTGAAAACATTGAAGATGGGCAGAAGGCATGCAGGGCTCACCCAGGCTGTAGTTCACACCTGAGCAGTTTCTCTGTGGGACACAGCACCTACATGCCTCAATGGTCCTTGCAGCCTGCTTCCTGGGTCAGAGAACTGGAAACCAGGAAGGTCCAAGGGGACCACAGACCACCACTATGCCTACTACCTGGAGAGACTGTCCAAAGCCTGAGTGAAGTTGTCAGTCCCAGAGCTGTCCTTCTCGGTGCTCTCCATCAAAGACATCGTGGCAAAGACCACGTCACTGGCCAGGAACTTATGCTTGAACCCAAAATGAATGCTGAAAGTCTGCACACGCATGTCCTTCATCCTGTCCCAGGGAAGAAGCAACATTGTTGTCATCCTGGGTGTGTGTGGCATGTCCTCAAAGGGTAGTTCTTCTGCTGTCATGGAAAGTGCCAGAAGGCACTGCACCGGCCCTCACCACCAATCTGGCAGATGCATTCCTAGTGTCCCTCACTAACCTTGCTGATGCCCCCAGCATAACCATTCTGATGGAAGGATGGACTGGGCCAGACACATCAGCCACTGTGCTGAGGAACTGCCCATGGGGCCAAGGTACATGGCACTTTCCCCTCCCACATCAGCTGCCTCTTTGGAACAAGAGGGATGGCTATCACCCATCGTGCCAGCTTGGGTTTGCAGCTGGGCAGGAATGCCACCAGTCAGCCTTGCTTCTGTGTAGGGCACACAGGGGTGTTTTTCACCAGAGCACAGCAGCGTCTGGCCCCAGGTGGTGTGAGGATGGGAGAGGTCATCCTGTCTCTAATGAAGGACTTCACTATTCTAAACCCTATGGGTATTTTTTAACCAAAACTTAGGGCGTTTTAAGACTCAAGTCATGCTCATTTTTACTATCCTTAGCTTTGCACTACTCTAGGAATGTGATTAAAGTCTTAACTTTCAAGAGGCTTAGCCCAGAAAAATGTGTTTTTACCCAAATTTATTTGCTGATTCTTCGATCATTTCTCGCAAATTCTCCTTCAAGGAAATGTCCATGGATTGAAACTTCTGTTTTACCTGCTTTAGTGGAAGACTAGAAAGAGAGCGATCCCCATTATGGGAATGATCTTGGTTTAAATTAAGATCATTAAGACACTGACATGACACAGGGGACATCAAGCTCAATTGGCATAACAGACTACATAAACATTGCTCCACATCCTACTTTGGCGAGTAGTGACTGGGATCTTAAAAGCTTGCAAGCGGCCATCTAGATGCAATGATGGGTCTCTCCTCGTCCAGAGCAAAGAAGAATGAAGAAAACCAAAGATGCATGGAAATAATTAGTCTAAGGGACTAGTAGACTATGTGATCCTCAGCCTATATGACCATGAGACCAGAAGAACTAGATGGTGCCCGGATACCACTGTCAACCACTCAGGGGATCTATATAGGAGATCCTGGATAGAGTGGGAGAACAATGTGGAACAAAACTCAAAATCATAAAAAAAAAAAAGACCAGGTTTGCTGGTCTGATAGAGGCTGGTGAGACCCCTGAGATTATGGCCCCTAGTTACCCCTTCAGGTCTGGAACCGAACTCGTTCCTGTGGCTTCGAGCCAAACAATAGACAGACATATGGGCTGAACATTTACATCAGGTAGATACACTCCTTGGAGCGATCAATTGTGGGAGAACAGAAGGGCAGTGTC